AAATAAATAAATAAATAAATAACCAGTCTCGGTTAGCCAACAGGAATAATAGAGGTTTGTTCTTTTGAGGGGCCTACTTTGCAGTGCATGTTTTCATATAACTTGCACTGTTTATTGCCTAAGTGACAATGTGCACAACAGCCTTTAAGGAGCAAGTATATGGTACATATTTTTGTAATTTTCTAAATTCTGCCTTGATGTTTCCTAGTCTTAAACATAAAATGATGGTTTATATTGTACTAAACTACACTACAAGAAGACACACTGTAAGGATAGGCATTTTTGTTGTTAGAGTGTGTTCTGTGTCTTGGAGTGTAGTTTCTAAGATTCAGTTGGGTTGTATGTATTTATTCGTTTAAAATATATATATCTACTTCCCTTGTAAAGCACAAAAGCCTCCTAACAAGAATATGTTTGAAGAACTAATAAAAGATTTGAAAACTCTATTTTTTAGTTTAGAAGAGAGACTATTGAGAGCAATGAGTAGAAAATATATTTTAATAGGATCACAATTTTAATAAGGTTAAGACGACTGCTGTCCTCTGAAGATGCCGGCCACAGAGACTGGCGAAACGTTAGGAAGAACAACCTTCAGAACACAGCCAAAGAGCCCGAAAAACCCACAGCAACCAAGGTTTAAACACTTTGATTTTTAAGAGTCACCTCATGGAGGTAGGAAATACCAGAGAAGAAAAATGTGTAATAAAAGCAAGGTCTTGAAAGTTACTGTTTATTTTCATACCCTAACCTTTGTTGAAGGAATTTAGAGGATGGACATAAAATTTTCCTCATTTCATTCTTAACCAAAATCCTGTGAGATAGAATAAACTGAAAGGAAAAGGCTGATATATTGAACCCCCTACCCTCCATCTGGAACTCTGTTCATTTCAGTTTGCTGCAAAAGTAATCATGCTTATGTAGCAGTGATTGCCATAGATTGATATAAAATGTAGTTACCCTTTACATGTTGTTGCAGTTCTGTAGAATTTTTCTGTCCATCGTGTGATTTGGGGGAACCAGCTGCATAGAATCATGCTGTTGAAAACCTTCCTGTACTTTGGAGGCCAATTCAAGTTCTTTGGCATATCTATTCCAAAAGCAACTTGAGCTTTAGTATGTCAGCTTTGTAAGTACTTTGGTGATACAAGTGTTTCGAACTGGAGATTAGAGATCAAGCTAGAAATCTAATTGGATGTATTTAACAATGCATTCAACAGAAGGCACCGGTGGTTTCTTTTAAGTGCATATCTTTGGATTCAAAATGTCAGGCTACTACTCATTTGTGATAGTTAGCTGATGCTTGATTCTACCCAATGCTTGTTTCCCTGTTCTTCATCCAGTGTAACAAAAGTATTTCTGGCTGTGAGTTGGCGTGTGTGTGTATCTGTATATACTTGACCAATAATGCATTCAACAGAAGGCACCGGTGGTTTCTTTTAAGTGCATATCTTTGGATTCAAAATGTCAGGCTACTACTCATTTGTGATAGTTAGCTGATGCTTGATTCTACCCAATGCTTGTTTCCCTGTTCTTCATCCAGTGTAACAAAAGTATTTCTGGCTGTGAGTTGGCGTGTGTATGTGTCTGTATATACTTGACCAATATTTCTGTTTTTTTGTTTGTTTGTTTGTTTAGGTATGTGTCTTGTGCATTGGGATGCCCTTATGAAGGAAATATTTCACCAGCTAAAGTTGCAGAAGTAAGACTATGTTTAAAATAAAAACCTAAACTCAAGAAATGTCTGCTTTTTAAATTTCTCTTTTTCTCCATATTTTCCCCAAGTCCTTGGATATTACATGGATAGCCACTGTAGTACAGGATTCATTTCCCTCTGAAAAGAAACCACTGGAAACTCAAGAGTATGTTTGTGGTATTTGCTCATTTATTTAAAAAAACACACCTTGATCATCATGTAACGGGCAAATGCCTTCAGCAGTCAGTTGTAATCTGTGAAGAAGCATCAGTTGTTCATATCAGAACAAAACATACAGTCTCTTTCTTCTTGAACTCTAGATGCATATACTGTCCTTCAGGGTAAATTCATAAGTAATATGTTTATTATCTGAAGTTAACATCAAATGATCATTTAAATATGTAAATCACAATCAAAGAGCAGAGATAATTACTCTGAGTTTTTAATCTCCCCTGGTACAAGTGTAAGCAGAACACGCTCCAGGGGTTTTTCACAACCCTGTGGACATTTTGTAAACCATCCCTTCTATGTGTGAAGCAAGGAGGCAGTTGAACAGAGGTGGCTAGTAATGAGGACAATAGATATTTCTTTTGGAAGAAAATAATAATAAGCAACTCCTTGCAACAAACCCGAAATCCAAGACCTGCATCTTCTCTGTTATTGCATTTATGGCATGAGGGATTGTTTCTATTCCTGCAATTTTATTTCTCAAAAGCCTTCCATCTCCTGGCTTGATCTGTTTACATAGTGTTTGTCCTAGTACCTTGTCCAGAGCAGATATATGGCTTGCTACTTATATTTATTAAGGATAGCAGCTTTATGAGTCAGTTGGTTTTCATGTAAAAACGTATGTGACTTCTCTTTCAATACATTGATGATGGCAGGTTTTCCTCTGTTGTTCCCAGATTTCCTATTGCAATAACATCTTGGAGTCTGGTCTCCAGAAGTCCTCAAGGAGACGCTTCCACTGAGCTTTTCCCCTTGGTCCCTTTCAACATTTCACTAGGAATGCAACTCTTTAAAAAAAAATATCCCTTCATATTTTTTTTCATTATATGCCTTCCTCCATAGCAGTGTTTTGGAATTTTGTCCTAGTGGGCCTTAGAAAGTAATGAACAAACCCCTTCCACAGAGTCACAAAAATATTTATAATCTCTTCTCCTAGCCCACATGCTTGAAATTTAATTGGGTAAATAATAATCTCTCTCTCTTTTTAATGGACTACAAACAATACAACTTAACCTTTCTTCTGTCTTTTATCACCTGTTCTTTGGATTAAACACATAATAAGAAAATTCCAAGGCACGAGGGACAAGTAGCTTTGCACTCAGTTAACCTTTATTACACTCGTCCACAGTGGCTCCAGCAGCCAACAGCAAAAAAGGCCCATTGTTTTGTGCGTCAGTTCTGTGTTTTACTTCATTTGCAGCTATTTTGTGACTAGTCAGCACACTAGAACATATTGCAGTAGAACGACTGTACTTTCCAATAGGCTTAAAGCACAATAGGAAAACCAGGAAGAATATACATTGAATATACATGGAAAATTTTTCTTTGCTGCAAATTTTCCTTTTGGTACCTTTTTCGGTTATTTGGTACCTTCCATTTGCATTTGAGGAATAGCTGGAGGGAAAGACCATTATATAGCATTTGGTAATGCTTTTCTGTCCTTTCCCAACCTGGTGCCTTCTAGATCTATGGGGCTTCAGCTCCCATCATTTTCCAGCCATTATGGCTATTGGGAAATCTAGACCAGTAGGTATATATGCACTTGCCTTCCATGGTGAATAGCTGTGTGCTTCTTGAAGAATTTGCCAAAACGGACTACTGTATTACATCCTGAAGGACATGTTTCAATTTTTATACCTATTGCTTTTCAGTTTTTAACCACTGCCCATAAAAAAGAGAATAGGTGATCTAACCCATATGCAAAGGAAAACCACTTTGACTTTAATGGAACTATGAAGCAGGTAAAGTCATGCCAGGGCAGGAGTCCATTTCACTATTAATTTATTTAGCCAAATGAAAACACCTGGCCCTACAAGTTAGTGTTTAACCAGAAAACTTAGCCTGGAAACCTTAAAAACTGGGAAGGGACACAGTTCCCTTGCAAAGGAGTCAAGCCTTAAAAAAAACACCCTCAGATGAGAAAGTTTAGATGTATTATAAATGATGCAAAGGATAAGGAATACAGAAGCTGCATCTGAATCAGTAAAGATAGATGAATGGATTTTTAGGGTTAGTTTTTCCTATTCCTCAGAATTTTTTTTCATCAGCACAGTTCTTCATCAACTACCCTTATGGAATTTTAAATATATGGGCAGAAATCCTGCTGCTTAGTGTAAGAACAATTGTATCTTTCAGTTCGTTCCTACCTGTCTAAAATAAAAGAGTCCCCACTACAATTTTCAGGGGTGTTCATGCATGCTCACAACAGGATTTCAGACATAAGTTTAGATTATTTCCTATTTTCACTATTTCATTTATTTCCTTTCAAGTTTTGCTTCTTGTACTTACATTTGATGCTGTCCTTTCCCTTTCTAACCAGGTCTCAAAAAGGCTATACAGTATGGGATGCTATGAAGTCTCTCTGGGAGACACCATCGGTGTAGGGACACCAGGAAGTATGAGAAGAATGCTGGAATCGGTTATGATGGAAATCCCAGTTTCTGCTGTTGCAGTGCATTGTCATGACACTTACGGCCAAGCTTTAGCCAATATCCTTACAGCGATGCAGGTAATTTTCCTCTGAAAAAGGTCTTAGGAACCTCAGTGTTGTTCATTGTCATGCTCATTAACATGAGGAAAGCAGAGGAAACAAATACTGTACTCCAGATGTATCCTAAGCTCTTCAGGTGTCTGAATCACTTGATGCATTTTTAACAAAACTCGAGTATTCCAGCTCTGCAGATGATGATGATGAATCTCCCAGCCAAGGTGGGTACTGGCATCTGCAGCTGTGTGCCACAAAGTAACTTTCATAAACTCTGCATTTTAGCTGGGGTAACAGCTTCTCAAGAACTGAGAGATGGTTTGTATGATTCCAGGAGCACATGTGATGCCTTTGATGTGGGTGTTTCAATGCTAGAGATATGCTGTCAATGGAAAGTCCATTGCCCTGTGGCACGACATAGGCTGTGTGTGGTCTCAGTTCAAGTTCTAGTTATTTCCATTGAAAGAGATTAGGAGAAGGTGATGGGATGCTGTTTTGACTTTGATCCTGGGCAGGCACTACCAATCGCAATAGGACATACTATGATGTCCCAACAGTGAGACTCCATGGAAGGCAACTTCACATGTTCATATGGAGCTACTTTACTGTTCTTCTTGTACAATCAGCTTTTCAAAGGTTACCTAGACAATTATGGGTTTAGCTGGGACTGTCTTGTGGACCATGACAGTGAGGTGCTCCCCCGCCATCACAATCAGTAGCTGCCTACGAATGTAGCTACACTGAAATATCTGCTGTGCTGTAGTGTGTTAGGTTGTGTACCAGCCAGCATGCAGAAAATTTCCTTTTCTGGACTGCAACCCTCAGAATCTTCCAACCAGCATAACTATCGGTTGTAGTCCAAATACCTACCTACCTACCTACCTACCTACCTACCTACCTACCTACCTACCTACCTACCTATTCAAGCTCTGGTACTTGTCTATATATAAACTGAGGATGCTACATGGTCTGTATACCTGTGTTTCCTGCAAGGCGCACAGTCTAGCATCAGATCAGTTTGATGGATGACAAGTGAACCAGTAGGCACATGTTCTTCTTTCACAGTGGATCTGGAATAGCATTCTGCAACACATGGTTGTGAACCAGAACCAGTTCAGTATAAACCCTAAATACTTCCAGTCTTGCCTTTCCACCAAGTGGTGTGCAAGACTAAGAATGTAAGAAGTGTGCCACGAAGCAGACACTTGTTAAGGTCCAGAATGAGCCCCTTGGTTGGTGGCCGTAACTGAGATGAGAGAGGGGAAGCTGCTCGGCTGGGATCTCACTTGTGCTTCAAGTTAGCAGCAGCTCAGGAGAGCTTGGCTCTCACTGTTGTGCAGGTCATCGATAGGGAACCATAAAGACTGCGAGGGGACCGGCGTGTAGAGTTTTGGGTGCACCGATTGCCCTCCACTGCACTGCCGCTCTGGATCAGAACAGAAGTGCAGGCAAGGCATTGCTATCTCTGTGTGTCTGGTGACTGTCTCTAAAACCAAAAATAAAACCATAAGCTTTTGTGAAGAGCAATTGAGAAATGACTTTCCATGTAACAAATGTACTAATTCACTTCCTGTTGTATACACTGCAGACCTATGGTCTAAATCCAGGTGTTGTAAAACCCATGGATTCAGTTGATCTCATCTTGTTGAGTGTCATTGGGATTTAGCCCCATGCCAAAAACAAGCCACATTCCACTGTTGCATTCAGCAGCTGGGGAGAAGAAGAGTAGTAGGCAAAATGTGGACTGCAACTCCCAGCGTCCTTTACCATTGGGAGATGCAGTCCAACAGCATTTGGAAGGGCCATGGGTTGCCTACCCCTGCCCATTGTACATATCTGGATTGGAATGAATTAAACATCTTACCAGTTTTAAGGTCATTCTGATTTAGTTTAGCAAGAGCGTCGTGGTGCTGTGGTTAAACTGCAGTACGACAGTCAGGTCTCTGCTCACCACCTGAGTTTGGTTCCAGTGGGCTCAGTTAGCCAGCTACAGATGGACACAGCCTTCCATGTCAGTGAACTGAGTACCCAGCTGGTGGGGGGGGGGAGCATTGCCTAACCTGCATAATTAAACTGTAAACCTCCCAAAGAGTGCTTTAAGCCCTATGGGGGTGGTACATAAGCACCACACTTTCATTGGTTTGCTTCCAGCAGCTGCCATTCATAGCTGGGCTGTTTCTCAACGTAGAGGATTAACTGAGCCTCCTTGGCTGGCAGTAACTGATAGCCTTCTCCTCCTCTATGAATGTCCCTACTCTAGTGTCTTTTTAGAGGTCCAGCTTGGTGCAGTGGATAGAATGTTGGACCAGATTCAGGTGACTTGGGTTCAAATCCAGCTTGGCCCTGGAAGATTACTGGGAGTGCCAATGAAAAACCACTCCTTGATTATCTCACATACCACAAAAACCCTTTTAGGGTTGCCGTCAGTTGGAGGTCATGTGATGTCACATGACAGCAATTTCTTTAAAAGCCCTCTAATCTCGTTGCCATTACTACATCTGTCAATTAATTATGGTCTATGTGAAAAGTCCTACTATTTTTTTAAAGGACCTACTCCCTAGTCATTATATTTAGGGCCGGAGCCCAAACTGCATGTGAAGGAAGAATTTCAGCCAGTGCTCTTTCCTCCTATCAGACATCGGATATGCTGCCGAACCTGACACATGTTTTCCCAGTGGTAAATCCCATTGGAGCTTATACCAAAATAAATGCCAGCAACATTCTTGTGATATTTCACTTGCTGTATTACTAAACCAGACAGTGGATGCCCTACTAATAGCTCCATGTTTTGTTATTTTGTTTCATTTTTTTTCTCTTAACACTAGATAGTTTTTTAAATCTCAGAAAAGTATAGGTTACTATTAATGCAAATCTAGGACCCTGTGCATTTTCAGTCAGAGTGAATGGCTCTTTTTCTCTCTCCTTCCTGGCAGTTTACTACTGATTAGTCTAATTCCTCTGAGGGTTTTGTGAAGTAGTGAGGGTGGGGGACACATGTGCCATTAGCTAAGGATCAAGTTGATGGTGATAATTTATACAGCTTTTTGGATCACTTGCTTTCCTTCCTTCCTTCCTTCCTTCCTTCCTTCCTTGTCAGAAATGCTACAGCAAAATTAATAAATATACCAGATAATTTTCACGCAGTAATGGGCAAACTGAAGGCAGCTAATATCAAATCTAGGGTACCTTGAAACAAGTGTGAAATTTCCTGTCCTTCCCTGCACTCACAGAGGACTGTGTCAGTGAAAAATCCCCATTTTCTTAGGTTCTGCCAAAACCAGTTCAGAGCTATAGAGTGACTTCCAAGTAACCAATTTCTCAATATGATCAGGGACTAGATTTTCCTAGATCTATTTTAAGAGGCTGGTAGTTCTATATTTCCACATTCTCTGCTTTTTCTTTCAATTTGACAGATATTCTGAAAAAAAACCCACCTTTTTTTCATTTTAATCTGGGATGGTGGGATTGTAGCTAAAATGCTGATACACATTTAATGTAGATGTTTCAGCTGCTATTATTAGATTGTCCTTTTGAGTCCTTCAATGACTTTATTATCCTTGGAAGTTAACAAAAATCAGTGATTTTACAAAATCTGTTGGTTTCATTACATTATAATCCTTGGTTAGATTATAAAACTTTTTTGCAGTAAAACTTGATGATGATCAGCATCATAGGTGACCAAGAGGTCAACAAAGGCTACACCTGTGATCATCTTAGGTTCAAAGATGTCCTCAGTACAATTCTTCTCAGCCTGTTGTGGAATGAGGAGTGGGTCCACTGTTTCCATTAGACACTTAAGAATTATTATTTTCAGGACTTTATAAAGATGACAAAGTAGTGAGATCAGACTGAGGTTTTGGAGATTTGTAGGTTCTTTGTCAAGTTTCAAATTAGCAACCAAAGAATTCTGGACTTTTTGGAATCCTTGCTGGTTGTGTACATTTTCTTTTCCAGTCTCTGGCTTGAAATTAAATTGCAATAAATTCTGTATGCATTTGTCCCACCTTTTCCCGACATTTCAGCAAGCTGATTTGTGATCAGCTTGGGGGCAAAGAAAAGCCCACAATCACCCCTAAAGCCCCTATAGCCCAGCACTATAAACCAAACAAATGCTCACTTAAAAAATATTCAAAATGTCCTGTTGGGCTCTCTAGGGCTTGTGGGGGTGCAGTTTTGCCACATTTCCTCTCCCCCACTGCTTTAGGCTGTGGAAAAAATAAAATTGAAGCCACTTCTGATTTTGAAAAATGACCTCTCCTAGGCTTAGTATCCTCTCGTAGACTTCCCTCAGAGGTAGGGAGGGAAAATACTCTGCAAATTTCTCATTTACATCCATTTAAGTTGTCTTGGCACAGTGGCTGAAACCCTGTTCATAATGTAAGCCGTAGTTTGGCCTGTTCCTCCCTAGTTAAAACACACGCACACCCTTTCCACAATTCTCAAGGCCAGCTGGGCATGCTAGCTTGATAGCTGCACGTGAGCCATCTGAGAATCACAACAAGGATTTCTTGTTTCCTATGGAAGAATGGATGAAAAGTTATAACTTGTCTTAGGCTACAGGCAGGATATCAGACAATTAAAATGCTTGATGAGGAATTTAAAATCTATCTGAAGTCCTCCAGAGAGCTCTCTTTTTTTTAAGATTCTTGTTATTTTCATAAAACGTCTTTAATGTTTCTTCCATCTGAGTTGTAAAACAACAACACCAAATGCAGAAGGAAATACCAATTGTTAAGAAGTATGTCAACGACCCAACTAGTACTTCAGTTTCTTCAATAAAGCAGCAAGAATCCTTATTTTGGGGGCTATTTGCACAATTTGCAACTTGGGCAAGCGTGCACAAAAAAAGGAGGTCGTTTTGCCCAAAAATGTACTTTTGAGCAAAAACATTATTTTTTGTCGGTAGGAAAACGCTGTCACAAGCCCCATGAAGTTCCTCACCATCTTCACTGAGGTGAGGTAAAGAATGTTGCAGCTCGTCGCTCTTCCCTGCGAGGACAAGGAAAGCAAGGAGTTGCATCTCC